TTTTGTTAAGTGTGGTCTGATTCAATTTTAGGCATGATCTATTGGCACTTTATTAGTGGTGCTTGCTTAGGATTTATTGTCTGTAAAAGCAAAATTAAAAAAAAAATTCTTGGGTTTTTCTGGTTAAAATTATTTCTGGGTTAAAAGAGGTCCACTTGTTAATTTAATATGAGAGAATGATGAAAAGAATGATGCTGTCCCATGACCTAGAGATAGACCTCTCCTCCTAGCTGGCTGGATATTTGGAAGAAGCATTGGATAGATAAAATGCGGTGACTGGAAACCACTATGGTACTCAGTCCTCATTCATCCTGTGCATCATCCAAGGCTGGATAAAAACAACTAGCCAAGTTGTCAACTTGGTTGTCTTGTACAATGTCCATGATGTTTGTGCTTTGCTATTTGATAGCATGAAATCCCATGATATTTACACTGCATTGTTTCTCTCAGAGATCCATCCTGCTTACTGTATCCCCAAATTTTATAGTCTTCAAAAGTTCCTTCTAGACCCTTGACAAGTCTTGATTTCTTCCTATTTGTTTATGTACCTTCTTACCTGCGGTAACTTCTTTTTCCACGTGTAATTAAGGATGAAGTGTGCTGCCTGGTATTCCGCTCTTTGGAAAGAGCTTTTTTCATTTTTTTATTTTTCAAGGCTAACCCTGAAAGATACTGTACAATGGTGCAATTTTATTTCTGTTTACTTTTAAATGAAGCTAACTCATATTTATTAGTAGTAACATCTTGATACAGGTTGGCCAATTTCCCCTTCTATCTGATTCACAAAGGGACCTTTTCCCAAAGAAGAAATGAATAGGTGTTGTATCAGTTCTTTGCTCTGAAATTGATTGGGGTTTTCTGAGAAAGAGTGTAACTTCGTGACAATATTCTTAGTTAGTTATTTGCTTAGTTATTGGTCATACTCTACATGTGTGATCTCAGGTGAAATGCCAAGGATGATGGAGAATAAAATAATAGAAGCTATCAATTGATTATAATTTTGTAACTGAAATAAGGTTTTTGAAGTACTATATGACTTGCATATCTCTCTGCCTTCCATTTAAAATCCAAATATAAATTTCATCTATATTTTTATGTATCACAAACTTCTAAAAATAAAATTTACACCTATTTTTTATAATCCTGTTCATGATTTCTCTATTTTCTTGATTATATGAATTTTTTATAACTGATACTAACATGATAATCTGTGTCATTTCCTGGTTTACAAACACTTATTGATTTTTGTCTCTTTTTAGTTATAGTTGGCCTCCAGTGAGTAAGGGAAAGACCCCTTCCTGTTTGCTCCTCCCAGCCCTGCTCCAGACTCTCAGCTTCCCAGACCCTCATGCACTTGGTTATAAATTTTTCCAGAAGCTATTTAACTGTCTACTTTTCAGGACTAAAAAAAAAAAAAAATTAAAAACTAAAAAAAAAAAAATCAAAACTTTAAAAAGCAAAATGTGGAGAGAGAAAGCAGCACTTTTTTTTTTTGTAATTAGGCTTTTTAAATTTTTTTTTTAACATTTGTCTGTTTTTAATGTGGGTCAGTCACTGATACTTCATCATAATAACAGTTTCTTTGTCAAGTTTATGTGACCAAGGAATAGCCACACCATCAGAACAAAACAACACACACACACATACAAAAAACAACAACAACAAAAACCAGAATCATCTTTAACCTAACTTTTTATACGATGTCTCAGATCCCCATAACTTTGCACACAAGCTTCTGTGTTCAGTTGAATTGTAACTGCTTTTTGTATTTGGAGAGAGTGTGACTATTGAACTTGAAACCTTTTATTCTGGGCACCTTGGTGGTTTCTGGTGAGATTAAGCGAGTGAGAGGGTGAAGGAATGTGGGGAGTTCTTTCCTATTATGACATGAAGTTTCCCCCACAGTCGGCTCTCAGCTGCCAGACCTCAAGTTTTTCTCACAGTGGTATACTTTCATTATTTGTACTTCCCTTTTACCCATAATTTTTAACAGCTGTTTATCAAAGTGCACTTATTAAAAACAATTTTTAAAATAAAGTTATAGTTCACCTCACCAGTCTGCATTTATTGCTTATGGTTTCACTCACCTGCTATGCCTGTTTTTGGTGTCTTAAAAACAGACATATTATTTTCCATATTATATCCAGTTAATTCATGTATATACTGGAAAGAAAATAAAATTTTAATATGCTAAATATATCTACAGAATTTCTCAAGTAGCTATGCTTAAAACAAAGAGAATATCCTGGAAAAAAAATAAAAACTATGGTCAGCTTCAATAAATCAAGAATAGAACCCAAGTATTTATCATTAATGATGGTTTATGGATGATACATACAGAATAACTTCAACATTTAAAGGAAAAATAGTATTCAACCTGGTATTCTAAACTGAAGCAGACTGTCCTTCAATGATAAATAAAAATAGATTTTCATAAATGATAAAATTCAAAAAAGCAATTTTCTATGCCTCATTTCAAAGAGAGTTACTCAATACAGAAGAAAAATAAAACAAAGGGAACAGAGTTTGTGGACAGAAACAATGGCTCTAACTACAGAGCTCAATAAAGTTCCGCTGATTCTGCAGTAGACCTTGAAAATAGTTGTGTTAGCATAACTCAGTCCTACCTTTAAAATGATGGTTTAATAGTAATATTAGCTAGTAAGTAGTCAAGTGATTGAATGTAGCAAAAGTTAGCAGATTCTAGTGATCTATTTTCCTCACCACACACAAAAAATGAATATTAGAAAATACAGGAAAAACAAAGTGATGAAAAAGAAAGTAAAAACCCACTAAACACAAAAAATTAAAAGTCAAGTTCTGCATATGAAACACAGTAAAATGTGCACTTTTTGTAACATTTAATGAGATATAAGAAAGTGGTATTGATTGTTGTTGGTGGTAAGAACATCCCTCCATGAGCAGCATTCATGTTCTGATATTGGATGTCAGAAAGGCTAATAAATTAGAGAAAGAAATCATTCTTACTTCTGGTGTGTGTTTTGCGATGAAAACTATTTTAAAGTCAAGTTTGTGAAAATGCTTACTGGTTTTTAACCTTCATAAATTTTCTGTAGACAAAGAATGCAACACATAATTATTTTTAAAAGAGAATAATAACTGATGAAGCATGAACACAGGGACTTGAACTATTAAAAAACAGAGTGAGGTGTGGTGGTCTCTACAGATGCTGATACTCAGAAATAATAAAGTGTCCAATGTAGATTAAGCATGAAATCACAGAACACATATCATTATGATTACATAAATGATAATCAATTAAACACTAAAGCCTATTAATATTTGATTCATTAGGCCTGAAGAGAAAGAAGTGGCCCCATAAGCTAAATTCGTTTTCCTCCCATTGCAATTGGAAAAAAATAATGGGAGCACCTAATACATTGTGAAGGGTCTTCTATGTACATATTTCAAGATTATGGTCAATATCAGACAACTAGTAGTAGGTATGGCTAAATTTAGTTTCCTTTTAGAACTTTACATAGTTGTAGACCAAGTGGAGGCTGCTGATTTGGGTCTAAATTTTAGAAACTACTGTTTTATATGGTACTGGGGATTGAAACCAGGGGTGCTTTATCACTCATATATATTCACATTTCTTCAATATTCATTTTGAGACCTGGTCTCACTTAGTTGCTTAGGCTGGCCTTGAAGTTGTGATTCTTCTGCCTCAGCCTCTATGATTTTTGAAATTACAGATATGTACCATCACATCAGGCCTGGACACTGCCTTTTCATTTTTTACACACATCTAATAATCAAAACTATTTTAAATATTCCTGTCTTTTCTTTGATATAAAATATTCAATACTAATGTTCCAAATTGGTTTTCACCCTAATATTCTTTTCTTGAAAAGGCCAATCTTCATGTTGAGTAGTTATACTTTTTTTTTGACCATATCATAATATACTCATTAGATTCTATTCTGAGTTATCAAGTCAATTTTATATATGTTTTAGAAAAACAAATTGCCACATATTGTTCTGGTTATGCTCTTATTGGAAGTACCTTCCTCTTCGTCATCATCAAAAGAAAGATAGGAGGACATTTAGTAAAGTCAAAAGCTAAAATCCAACAGTTGGCCACTTCTCTTTTCAACCAGATGTTTATGATTTGATTGATTTTTAAAATTTCTTCTTCTGATTGCTCTGATTGCCTTTCCTATGATATTTAATAGTCAGCTCCATTTAAAAGCACTAGTTTATGTGAAAAGTGGATATTAAGGAAAATAAATATGTGGAACATACTAATAGTACTCAATATGTTTCTCATGATTATATACATCTTCCTCCCACCATTCTGGGATTGCAAATCATAGAGCTTTCAATGACTTCCATTCCTCACTATATTTCACTAATCAGCTAATGCAGAATTAATTTCTCAACAAATTTGTATTAAATAAGTAGCAATTTAGACAAAACCAGATATAATTTACACCTGTGAAATTAAAACAATATATGTGGCAGTTTGCCAAAGAATACTTGGCATATTCAAAGAATAAAATGAAGAAGTTTACCAGAATTGTTGCTTTCCTTTATGTGATAGGGGAAAGTTTATTGTCATGTTGTTTCAAAATGACATTGACAGGTTCCTTATGCAAAAAAAAAGTTGTTATTCTGTAAAGTGGATTTTTTTGTTTACCCATTTTTCTTGCACACGGAACACAAACACAGTGAGATACTGATCAATCAATTGTATTTTCAACTAATGATGTAAAATGCATCTCTAGCACATTTGCAATTGTTTTCATTTTATATAAAAGCCTCTTGCACATTCAGCATGAGAAGAGGTTGCTCATTAATTTTGGTATCAATACTGGGTTAGGTATATTGAAAAGATGTTGAGAAAATTACACCTATAATGATGGAATCTCCCAATTCTTCATTCTCATCTTTCCCGTGGTGCTTCTGGTATTCATATTAGTATGTTAACTTTAATTTGCATTGTCCATACAGTTTCTTAAAACACAAGACACTTAGAATTGAGGAAATCACATATATCATGTTTATTTCATAAACTGATATAAGATTCAATAAAACACTCACAATGTGACATAGAGTATTAAAACTTTATATAGCTAAAGATTTTTTAACAATGAATGATGGGCACCCTAAGCAAGTGTGTAGTTTTGACTGAAAGCTTTGCCATATTCTTTACATTTGTAGGGCTTCTCTCCAGTGTGAGTTCTACTGTGGCACATAAGGCCTACTTTACGACTGAAAGTTTTGCCACAATCTTTACATTTGTAGGGCTTCTCTCCAGTGTGAGTTCTCCTGTGGTAAATAAGGCCTACTTTTTGACTGAAAGCTTTGCTACATTCTTTACATTTGTAGGGCTTCTCTCCAGTATGAGTTCTGCTGTGGCGAATAAGGCCTACTTTTTGACTGAAAGCTTTGCCACATTCTTTACATTTGTAGGGCTTCTCTCCAGTATGAGTTCTGCTGTGGCAAATAAGGTGTGATTTTCGACTGAAAGCTTTGCCACATTCTTTACATTTGTAGGGCTTCTCTCCAGTATGAGTTCTGCTGTGGCGAATAAGGTGTGATTTTACACGGAAAGTTTTGCCACATTCTTTACATTTGTAGGGCTTCTCCCCAGTGTGACTTGTCCTGTGGTAAATAAGGCCTGCTTTTTGACTGAAAGCTTTGTCACATTCTTTACATTTGTAGGGCTTCTCTCCAGTGTGAGTTCTGCTGTGGCAAATAAGGGGTGACTTTACACTGAAAGCTTTGCCACATTCTTTACATTTGTAGGGCTTCTCTCCAGTATGAGTTCTGCTGTGGCGAATAAGTTGTGATTTTACACTGAAAGCTTTGCTACAATCTTTACATTTGTAGGGCTTCTCTCCAGTATGAGTTCTTCTGTGCCTAAAAAGGTCTGTTTTTTGACTAAAAGCTTTGCCACATTCTTTACATTCGTAGGGCTTCTCTCCAGTGTGAGTTCTACTGTGGCGAATAAGGTCTGTTTTTAGACTAAAAGCTTTGCCACATTCTTTGCATTTGTAGGGCTTCTCTCCAGTGTGAATTCTCTGGTGGTGAACAAGGCCTGATTTTTTATATGATTTCTGGTGTTCACACTCACTTGTAGTTTTCCATATTTTCTTTTGTTGTAAATAGTCAAGATCACAACTTTTATATTTCCCACTTATCACTCTGTGAAATATATGTTTTATGCCCTTTTCTGATGAATATTCTTGGGTATCATGAAGAGTCATGGCTGAAATAAACAAAAATAAAAAAAAAAACAATATCTATTAGACAGGGATAAATATATTTTGCATACATAACATGAAATTAAGATAAATACATCAGGAGTAAGTCCAAATCATCATAAAGAAAAAAATATATCAGTTTAATAAAAATGTACAGACAAAATTACCGTGAGAATATTACCCCAATTCTTGTACAGACCACAGTATGCAAGATGAGTACATCATTAAGAAAAGTAATATAATAAAGAGAAGGTAAGTATGTTACTTTTATCATCCACAGCCTTTTGTCCTCCATAAGATATTACTGTGTATTTAGGAAATATCTACCAACTACCTTCATTCTCAGTAGAATAAGAAAAATGTAAAACATATACAAACATTTTTGGCTTTTTCAAAGAGTGTCCAAAAACGGGTTTTGGTCTACCAGGACATACAGACATGAAAATAACTAGTATATTTTAAGTGATAATATCACAAATATTCAACAAGGGTAAAGAGGCTGTGGACTCTTAAAAAGAAATATGAACAAAAAATTTAATAAGAAATATACACATATGTCTATAAAATTTTCCATAAAAAAACATTTTAAAAGACTATAAAAACCTTGCATAGCCTATGGCTATAATACTTGAAGTCAACACATAACAATCAAGTATAATAAATTGATTTTTATATTTCTAAATTTGTGTGATATGATGATTTCTTCCATTGACAAATACACCTTTGTTTATTTCCTAAATATATCATGTATTTTATACTATATGTACAAGGTAAAATGACTAAATAGAACGAAATAATGCACAAAAAAAGAATGAATTAACGTAATCATTTTTTCATATAATTATCAGTTTGGTTCTTACAAGGTATTGTATTCCTTCTAATAGTATTTATAAAGAACATAATACTCTCACCATGTGGTAAAACAAAACTCTTGAGCCTCTTATGTGCAATAAAATTTAAAAAAATATGAGACTTTGACTATAATATCAACCCTACACAAAACACAGTACCTGGTGAGCAAAATTTTACTCACTAAATTTCTGATTTCCACACTTCCACATGTGAATCAAATGCTCCTGCAACTTAATCTCTGCATGCCACATTTCACTTAATGCAAAGTCCTGCATATATTTCTTATAACACTTTAAAAGATAAAATATTTTTACAACTGAATAATAATAGTATATAAGTACAATATTTTTACTCATTTAATCATTGATGGGCACATACATTGAGTCCCTAGCTTTAAATGAAAACAATATGTGCACTAAACACAAAAGCAGAGGTATCTCTTCAATTTTCTGATTTAAATTTTCATGGATACATATTTAGCACTGGCATTTCTGGATCTTTAGGTCATCCAACTTTTAATTCTTCATGTGTAGTGCTTGAGATTAACCCCCCAAATTCTATATCACTGAACTACAACACAAGCCTTTTAAAAATTATTTTGAGGGCTGGGGATGTGGCTCAAGCGGTAGCACGCTCGCCTGGCATGTGTGCGGCCCGGGTTCGATCCTCAGCACCACATACAAACAAAGATGTTGTGTCCACTGAAAACTAAAAAAAAAAAATAAATAAAAATAAATATTTAAAAAATAAATAAATAAATAAATAAATAAAAATTATTTTGAGTCATGCTGTTTCTAAATTTCTATGACCTCCCTAAAACATGAAGTACTTTTGCATGGCCTCCCAATTAGCAAATATTACAAGGATGTAGCACTGTTCTTGCCTATTTTTATTTATTTACAAGTTTTTTATACTTTTTTCCCATAATGGGCTATATAACCTATGGTTGGCTCCTTTAATGAACAAATAAAAATAATACAGCAAATATAAACAAGGAGAAGCATGGCTCAATCCAAGTGACAAAAAAGGATACTGCCTGTTATTAATTACTCAAAGAAGACTAAATAATGGGGCTGGGGATGTGACTCAAGCGGTAGCGCGCTCGCCTGGCATGCATGGGGCACTGGGTTCAATCCTCAGCACCACATAAAATAAAATAAAGATGTTGTGTCCACCGAAAACTAAAAAATAAATATTAAAAAAAAAAAAACATTAAAAAACTATTTAAAGAAAGTTTAAAGAGTGAAATTGAGACCAAAAACATTAATATAAATAAGCACAAATTGTATATGTGAATAATTCTTTAGGAAAAAATGAGAGAAGCATTCCTAGTGTGCAAAGGTGAAATTTTACCAATATGGGAGAGGCTTATCAAGGAGAACCAAGTTTAAGACAAGTCTAAGCAACTTGTGAAATAGTGTAAAAATTAAAAACCTAAAGGATATATAAAGAGAAGTGGGAGATTATATATATATATGAAAAGAATCTAAGCATGCCACAATAAAAAGCAATGATCCAGAAATTAAATAGAAAATAATAAGAAATATAGAAAACAACTTACAAAGTATAAGTATAATGAATTTTTCAATTCAAAATATTTATGATTATCAATGCAATATTGCAAAACACAAAACAAAAGAAAAAAAAATACTAACAGAATTGAATCTAAAGAAAGAAACTGCCAAGTCAGTTCCAGCAGAGAGCATGGAAAGAAACCAAGCATGATCTGCTCCTAGAGGCCCTATTTGTTTAAAGGTGGATAATGCCCCTCCCTTTACATCTCATCCTTTTGCACAATTTTGAATCAATAAGACACAGTTTTAAATAATGAAATTTCTCATAATCCTTTTGGACAAGCTTCTGTTGAGTGGTATCCTAATACTTGCCTTTTAAAACAGAAACAAAGATCTAGCCTCTCTCCTATTAATATGCATTAAATATTGTTTTATTTACAGTTAATGTGCTCAATATACAACATAAAGTTAAATACTCAAAATTGGTCATCTGCAGTGAATAGACATTTTATTCACAAACATCCATTACCAAAAAAAATTAGGTAATATATAAGACTCCACCTGACCCAGCATGACATGATCCTATGCCTTTGATCACATGGGGAAAAGCATAGATTGCTACACTTATGCCAACATCTCCTGTTTGGACTCTAGCTTGACTCATGAAATATAGCAATTATAAATGTGCATCAGGGACTTCACAAGCTGATTCCTAAGTTTCATTTAACCCCGGAAGAGAAGAGTCCCTCCAAACAAGAGAATAATCATTCTCCTCAAAAGAGGAGAAATGTTAAAAGAGGAACCCAAGATACTATAATTTCAGTTACTTGGGGTGATATAAAACCATTAACAACCACAGCTCAACAGGTGTTGGCTAAAATGAGGTTAGAATGTGCTCTAGATAACTTTCTTACTGCTTTGATTGGTAAACTCACACAAAACTCTGTAAATGCTTTGGTCTTAGTAACAATGTTGCTCCGTTTTTGTACACCAGCTGTGGGAAATTCAGTACTGTCAGATCCTGGACTTGTACAATCCATTACAATATCTTGACTCACTTGGATGAAATTGTTACATACCTGCAAAAACGTCTCATGGTATTCATTGTTGTCTTAGCAGAATAACTGTGTCCTTACCATCCACATAGTATTTCATAGGTCACCATCCTGCACAATTTATTCATAAAATGTCTATTCCTCTTGATAAAAACTCTGATGATTCAGTGAATCTTCTCTCTAAGGCAGAATTTGTTGCTTTGACATTCTCCTTAATGGGTTCCCCTGGATTAGCTCAACAGGCTTACAAAACTACTATGAAACTCGCCTATGCTACCATAAAAAGTATTAGTCATGCCTCCATGGCTGTTTAAATGTTTCATGAAGAACAAAAACATTGTCAAGCCATACTTGACAATCATGCTGCAATTGATTGTCTGTTATTGCTACATCATAAAAGATATCAGAAGTTTAATAAAATGTGTTCCTTCAAGTTAAGTGATAATAGTAATTTTATTTCAAAAGAGTTAGATTAACTTAAATATATCATTAGTAAGGTCCAACAAGATGATGGATGTTTAGACTTGTTGGAATGGCTAACTTCATGTTTACTCAATTTCATCTGGGTCAAAAAATATTCATAGGTGAATGTTTACTAATGTTGGCACTTGCTGTTGTTTATGCCTGCCCAAATTGGCCCCCACCAGCATTAAGGAGATAAGTAATATTATTTATTCAAAAGGACTTAAAAAAGGATGTGGGGCTGTAGGTATTCTTACCTTGGAAATAGACAGGGTGATGGTAACTGGCACCCTGAGTCCCACAATGTTAATGCCCAGCAGTTTCTCCCTGAAGCTATTAAGACAACTCTACAGGTGCACAATCTAGTTTCTGTGGTAATGTCCTTAGGGAGAAGGGGCTCTATGCTTGTATTAACTGTACCTTATCTTGGTTAGCTAGCACTTGGGGTTAAAATAAGGCTGGGTTACAATGTATGAATGGTAACAGAAGCTATGTGATTTTGGGGTATACTATGTGCAGCCAAGAAGAGGAGTGGCCAGTTTTTTCTTTTCAATGTGTGTGTGTGTCTCTCTTCTGTTTGCTTCTTTACAGGTTTCCTCACAAGAAGATTTGTAAGAGACCATGCTGGCCCTCACAACAAAAGGTAAGTTTTGGTGGTTAATATGAATAAACTGGGACATCAGTAAAGAAGAAAACAGAGGACTACAAAGAATTTGAAAATGTAATAAATATAGGGCAGTATGTGTTCAATGATTACAATAAAAAGAAATAAACATAAGCTTCTGAAATTTTTTTTCTGCTGAATAACTACTCTGTCAACATTTTTTAGTTTGGTTTTCTCCTTTTGAACATCTCAACTGTGTCCCCTGCTATGTCTAGGCTACAATAGTTTACATCACTAAATTATGTTAGGTACTACTTATCTAAAGTGAAGGATGTATAACACACCAAGAAAGAGAGAGATTAAAGAATAAAATAATATATATTAAAGAGTAAAATATCTGTACTAAAAATGCCCTTTTTCTTTGAAACACAAATCTGAAACTCATTCTCACAGAGAAGTTCCCAGAAGACACAAGAGGAGTAAATTAAATAATAATTAGTAATTAAAATATTTAAAAGGAAATTAAACTTACCCAGGAAGGCAAAGTTTCTATAGTTCTCTAACATCACATCTTTATATAAGTTTTTCTGAGGAGGTTGAAGGCATTCCCACTCCTCTTCAGTAAAATCAATGGCTATATCCCTGAATGTTAACAGTATCTGAAATAAGAATAGGTAAATAAATAAACACATTGACCACATGAACATTTGCACAGTCTGTAATGTCATTGAAGTTGAAATGAGAGTTAGTAGACTATCATGTAGGTGGTGTTTAGGAACACAAAGATACCATTATCTACTTCTGCAGAAAAAGTGATTTAAGTTCAAAAAAGTATATATACTCCACATTTATGAAACACAATATAAAACTCAGGCATTACCACAAAAATATATATTTTATAATTTTTGTATCATGATCTAAATTATACATACTGTTCAGATAAGAAAATTATGGTAATTAAGAAAGGGAATCCTCAAATTCTAATTGTACAACGACTAATCAGACATTTACTAAAGTGTAAAATCTTATTTGTTATTTCTCTGATAAAGCTGGCTGTTCTTAATATGCAGTGAGATCTCTAATAATTTCAATACCAATGATATAAGAAAATTTTTGAAATGTAACAAGGTAGACAGACCACTTAATGGAAATATTTAATAGGAGTGAATTTAAGTTCAAACATTTTATGGTATTTGTGTATGTTATTAATATACAAAATAGCAACAACAATCCTGTTTGGATTTTCCTTTTTATAATTTTAACGTTTTTTTCACATACTCTCTCTCTCTCTCTCTCTCTCTCTCTCTCTCTCTATATATATATATATATATATATATATATATATATATATATATATATATATATATACAAACTTTGATTGATGTATATATTGTATGATGTTTATAATAGAATATACATATAGCTCTTCAAACAAATATAATTTTTTTAAATATTTTATTGGTTCTTTCTAGTTCTACCTGATAGTAAAATCAATTTTTAGGGCATGAAGCAAGCAGGGAATATATCTTATCCTAATTAAAATCCTGTTCTTGTTGGTGGCTATGATGGTAGGATTCACTGAGGTATATATCTATCCTTAATATTTTTATCCCCTTCCCTTTTATTTATTTATTTAATCATTATTTATTTATTCATTTTTTTACCATCATGCAATCTACTGATCTTCTTTTCTTACCCTTCTTCATTTTATGAACTTTAGATTTTACATATCAGCAATAACTTTTAACCTTTGATTTTAAAGAAATGGTTTGCTTTTTTTAGCATAAAATCTCCAGATTCATACATTTCCTAGCAAATATCATAAAGTAGTTCTTTTTATGGCTGATTAATAGTTTATTGTATACATAAGTAACAGTTTTTTATCCTGTCATCATTGAATGGATCCATTCATTATTGAATGGTTGGTTTTATAGCTTAGCTATTGTGAATTGTGTTGCTATAAACATTAATGTGGGTGTGTCAATGTAGTATGCTGATTTTATATCCTTTGGGTATATACAGTGCAGTCAAAAAACTGAGTTAAATTGTGGTTTCATTACTTTAACAATATCTGTATAGGTTATTATCTTTCACTTAGACCTTCATACAGCTGCAATAATTGGAATTCATCTAAACCTGAGGTTGAAAATAAAACATACAGGGAAAAAAAATAGTAAGCCATAAAATGATTAAGAATTTATTATCAAGTCATCCATCCCAATGAAAAGTAAATTTTATAAACTAAAAGTAAAGAAAATATTAAGCAAAAGAGCAAAATTAGAAGCTATTGAAGATGAACATAAAACAGAGAGAGTTACCAATATCAATGTTGGTGCTTTTAAAAAGCAAATGGGCCAAGTCTAGTGATGGACAACTGTAGTTCCAGGGACTGAGGAGGATAAGAAAAAAGGATATTAATTCTAAGACAATATTATATATAATATTGTCTTATATATATTATATTGAGAAACTTATTGAGGCACTTAGCAACTCAGCAAGACTGTCTCTAAATAAACTATATTTAAAAAAAAAAAAAAGACTGAGGATGTGGCTTCATGTTAAGCACCCCTGGGTTCAATCTTCAGTACAAATTTTCAAAAAAAAGCAGATACCATTAAAAAAACACTAGCAAATTTGAAAATTCAACAAATAAAAATTATGTCAATTATATAATACATAATTGCAAATATATGCATATATAATTATTTCTCACTTGATGGAAATACACTCTGAAAAAGTTATCCAAAGAATATTCTGCAATTGTTCAATTCTCTGAGTGTAATGACAAGAATCTAGATGGTATAGACTAGTACATGGCTAAGACATTTGCTATATCCACTGTTGTACATAAAGTCTACTGCTGACCAAAATACCATGATGCCACATGATTGATGTTATGAAGTTAAATCAATCAGGGTAGACCTCATAATAAAATAATTGGTGGAATTACAGAAAACAACAACAACAATAAAACTCTTGGTAAGTCTCTTGTTATTTAGGCAGTGATACATAATGAAGATTACAGTGCAGGGAAGAGGAAAAATGGCATTCATTCCAAAGAAAGATGCTAGGATATTGGGAAAACAGTGTGATAATAAAATGCTATTTTATCCCTTCACTCATAAAACATAACAACTTATTTTGACACATTAAATGCTGAATATGTTATTAATAAATAATACTGAAATATATAAGAAAGTACAAAGCTCAAAAGTTTATATACAAAAGATAGGGTGCATATGGTGTTTCACACCTGAAATATCTTCTATTCTGGAGCCTAAGGCATGAAATTCAAAATTTAAGGCCAACTAGAGAAATTGAGCAAACCCCATCCGAAAATAAAATTTAAAAGAGAGCTGAGGATATGCTCAGCAATAGGACACTTTGGTTGAATCCCTAATATCACAAAAGAAAAAATAATAGTTTTCTGTTTTCAAAATTATACAGTATAATATGTTTAAACTTATGAATTACAAAATATTAATATAAAAAATCTATTCATCAAATGATTACATTAAAATGTGCAAAAGTGACAAGGTAAAAAAAAAAAAAAAAAAAACCTAATTTCCTCACATATAATCAAACACTTATAAGAAGAAAGAAAAAATAAAACATTGCAAAAGAAAAGCAGAATAAATTCTTGAAGAGCCACTTTAAAAAGGATATATCTAAGTGTTCAATAATCATTAAAACTCAAAAACTTTATAAATTAGGTAACATTGAATAAAATCACATCATATAGATGAATTAAATAGTATTGATGAATATGTGGAATAAATGCATTCACAAAAGAGGAAAATAAAATTTTAAGCTTTTATTATCCATTTGTAGAAACTGTTTTGTAATCAAATGTAGATGATACACCCACACAAGAAACAGAGACTAAAATTACAGCGACTGTACATATGAGAATACAGCCATATTCTTCCAGAGGTGAAACCAAGGGGCATGGTTAAAGAGGAAGAAATAATTATTAAATTTTATAAATATTAAATTCTAGAAGCTAGAATTTTTGTTGATGTATTATATCCAGTTTGACAAATACTATAAAATACCATGTATGTTTTATGCTGATGTCACATGAATATTGCATTTCATATGCAAGTATATTTAAAAAAGGAATATGCAGTATTTGAGAAAATAAAAATACAGAAAAAGCACATAAAAGACTCAAATATTCAACATATTTACAAAGAAAACTATTATAAAAATGACCATTTTCCCTAATTTAACCTATAATAATAACTGGTCAAAATTTTACCTTGATTTACTTTTTGTTAAAGAAGAAATCAAAACAAAAACTTCCAAAATTCTCCTGGAAATTTAAATGTATATAAAATTAGCCAAGAACTCTCTCATATATAAGAGCAAATGTACTAGTGATCATTACCTGACACTAATACATGTTATAATATTACAATAGTGTAGTAATTTTAAGATAAAGAAATCACAATACAGAAAACTACATAGGGTAATTCATATGTATGCAAATATCATTTTTATCGTTAAGTCTTGTAAGTATATATATCAAAACATATCAATAAAAGTATTTAATGTGAATGAATGCTACAATCCAACCTCAGTAGATGTTAGAACAAGAGACACAGATCACAACTAGGGACTTGTGTGCAGAATGTGTGTAATACTGGAATTATACACAAGCATTCACCAAACAGCAGATATAAAGAAAGATAATTTTTAAAAAGATAAAATAAAAATAAAAGCAGAATACAAACCTCCCTCCATTTATGGATACACCAAATAAATATATACTCCTGTTTTGAGTCCTTCTTAAAACCGTAAAGGAATTAGAGGCACACACATTGGAAAACTGAAAAAAAAAAAAATCTACCAAGAGATGAGTAGAATGCACTTGAGCATCATCCTGATTTGAGCAATAAGCCATATTACCAGAACAAAATGCCCAAATCCAGGGTTAATAGGAATAAAGGAAGACTGATTTGGGTTTGAAATACAGCATATTTAACTCTAAATTTCCTATAGTCTAGCACAGTGTTTCCTTCTTCCATATCCATAATTGGAGTACTACTTACTCTTCCACTTTCTGAGAGTAGCCATTCTAACAGCTGTGCTCAAGCTGCAGAAGATCTTATAGTTGGCTGGTGTACTAAAATTCTGATGCAAGCTTTTTAGATTCCAGGTTTGAATGCTAATTTATCTGTACACACAGAGGAAGGAATAAGATGTATACGAGTATCAACTCCAGGGGGAAAAAATGTAAGTGGTTTTCTAAGGCCATGCAAGATCCATGAGCTTTTTTCCATTAGACCAGAGTGGAAGAGGTGTTAAATCTTAAGGGAACCTTTAATCCTTTAGAGGGATTTGCCAACATTCTCTAAAAATGCAAAGAGCTGTTGCTCACAGTTGAACGTTTATCTAGACAGTACCAAAAAATTAACAGGGAAATACAGACCACCACTAAAATCCAAAGTGGCAGTTTAGCACTTCCTGAGCTCTCTCACCCAGCTCACTTCAGTAATAACACCAGACCTAACCAATTCTTTCTGTAAGTAATTTGTCCCGATATTAAGTTTTTACATTCAATGGAGTACATCTGAAACCTCAAAGCATTGAAAACACTGGCAACTGTGCAGGTGCAAATCTCCCTAGATCAAAAAGGAGTGGTTTCACATTGGTG